TTTGATCATCGACATTTAGGGGGCTTTTGACATGCACCTCCAATTCCATTTGAAAACTTGATGTATAAATTAATTTAGGGTTAGAGACACAAACAACGACAGCATTAATCCTGTTCAAATGTTCTAACACAACGTATGTTTACGCTTAGCTGACAGTGACGACGGGTGACAGATCAGTAGAGTTTTTGGTCATTCAGTTTGGAGCACTTGTTGTTTTTCTTCCACTACAAAGATCTGCTTGGATTATGGAATGAGAACAAGAGCTGCCGTCTGCTGCAGCTTTCCCACCACATGCTGCTGTAGTCGCTCTCTGGTAAAGGATGGGGGTGATCTTAGGCTCTCACTGACCTACATTTTTCTGACCCTCAGTGTGAAAGTTTGTCTCCTTTTGTTCATTTCCATGAATAACTTTAGAGTTTGGCGTTTGCTATTGTGCATTTTCAGCCATTCGAGCCTTGCTGACATTCATACTTAAGTTCGTTTTTGGTTTGCTCAATTTTACACTACCAGAAGGTTGTTGGGTTTTTTTTGCAGACCAATCCTGCCTTTTAATTATTAAGCCAATAAATTAGAACATAAAATGTACTTGTAGTTGTAGTTTAGTTATCTAGTGTTCCTTTCTGCAATAAGTCAATTTGAGCAGCGCAGCCGGTTCCTATATGAATCACAGATTTTATATTAAAGAGTGAGTCTCATGTCTCCTTTTTCAAAAAAAACAAACACACCCTCATACCTCCTTTTTTCCAATTCCTCCCAGTCCCTGAGTGAGTCGAGCTAAACCAGTTTTCACAACAAAATATTGTACAGCAGAAACAGGGATAAAGCTTGAAAGATCATTTATCCAGTCAGGTAGTGCAGGGGGATATATAGATTTACATTCCTTGTTATACATTTTCTTGCAGCTAAAACTGTCAGATCAATATTTATATATTTTGGAACATATTGCAAGGGGTCTGACTTCTGCCAAGAAGACATAAGCGCTCCCATAAAGGGGGGTGCGAGCGCAACATCTAAGTTAAAAGGTTGTTCCTCCAAACCACAAACCAAGGTCTGATAGAAACTTTGACACTCTGTTCTGTGTATAACGTAGTCTGTTTGAATTCGCATGTCATCTATTATATAACTGAAGGGAGATCAGCTGACCTTTGTCCGGCCCTGTTAACCCCTCCCTCCCCTGACAGGCTGGATTAGCAGCATTTCATTTTAGCACATGTCTGCATAGGTCAGATTATAATTGATTAATCAGATTAGCGACTGTCAGTGAACGAGAAATATTTGAATCAGATGAGACTGGACTGAGTGATCAGATAGATTCTGGTCTGCCTGTGTTCAGCTTAATAGACCGGATGATGCTTAATGTTGGCCAACTGTTTTAATGGTTATGAAAACGATAATGGCTTTTAAATAGGCCCTTCTGCTTGATCTGACAGAAGGCCGGCTTTTATATAGATATTGTGTCGAAGGCCTGATGTCCTTGTGTGTTTTGCATCTATACTTGTATTTCTGTGTGTGTGTGTGTTTGTAGACTATTGATTAAACTGTTAACGTTCAGCCATAAAGCTGCTTGTTCAGTGCTGTTTTTCATGTTTGTAGTTGTTGGTTCAGGACCATTTTGGCAGTTTATGGCCTCGGGCTTCATCTCTCTTTCTACATTTATTCTGACTAGACAAACAAGCACACATGTGTAACCCATATGTGTGTCAGTGTTTGATGGCTGCCAGCGTCAGCGACTGTGGAATCTTAATAAATATCAACAGTGGTCTACATGTAAGTAATAGCCGACGCATTGATGAGATGCGATTTAGTTACAGCTCAGTGTTTCCCACATAGTCCAGGACCAGGTATATTAACGAGCGCCCGGGTACATTTGGCATTTTACTTCTTAGCACTGTTATCTGTTATTACAAGTCGCGGACATGGTGGACATTTTACAAGTACGGACCAGGTAAAGGGTTAGGGTTAGGAAAGGGAGCAGATTCAGGTAGTCAGTAAACACTAATGAAGTAGAAAGAAATACTGTGGCCGGGGAAATGCTCTGATGGCCTTGACCTAATTAACACCTCTGTGTAACATGTTTGGTAATACGGTTATACTGTATGTTTTGTTCTGTAATTCTGGAGTTCAAAGTGCTTTGCACACCTGTAACTGTATCTGTTTATCTTTAAAAAGGCAGATGGAGACAGGAAGCGGTCACATTGAACTCCCCGTGCTCTAGGTCAACACATTTTAGTATCATGGTAAATCGGAGCACTGCTGGTCTTAGGAACTCTCTGCAGCGAAGACCTGAATGTTGACAAGTTGTGTGGTTAAGCACAGCTCACTAAACTATTTTTATGCTTACATTTTGCAGCCTTCCTTAAAAATAAAATGAGTGCTCTAAAAATAAAATCTAAATCAACTCAACCCCTAAAGATAAGTTTTTTGTTCTCATGTCCTGATCCTTGTAATACACATCTCTCATCCTTGTAAAGCCTCTCCAAAATCAGTCTTATAACAAATCCAGACTGGCTCTCTACTATGATTTTGGCAGAAGAAAATATTCATGTGTGGATGTTCAAATGAGTGTGTGTGTGTGTGTGTGTGTGTGTGTGTGTGTGTGTGTGTGTGTGTATCTATCCTTCAGGAGTAGTTACATAGGAGGGTGGAAAGACAGAGCTGATTACATAAGTCTGCCCTTATATGTGAAGTAGTGTACGTACGTGTGTGTGTGTTTCTGTCTGTCTGTGTATGTGTGTCTGTCTGTGTGTCTGTGTGTGTGTGTGTGTGTGTGTGTGAGTGTGAGTGTGTGTGTGTGTGTGTGTGTGAGTGTGAGTGTGAGTGTGTGTGTGTGTGTGAGTGTGAGAGTGTGTGTGTGTGTGTACTGGAGTGTATCAGCACACCTCAGTGTGTGCGATGGAGCAGAAGGGAGGGAACATGAGGTCACACTCTCTAATTACCAAAATGTCCGCCCTCGTGACGCCTGACCAGCGTTTGTTAGATTAAAACCCAAGGAGGGAAAAATAAAGTCTTACTCTGTACTCTCTCTCTCTCTCTCTCTCTCTCTCTTTGTGTCCACATCTGTCGTCATCATTTCTCCTCGCCGCTGTCACACCATCTTCCTCTACATTTTCCCTCACCCGCCACTTTTGCTTTCTCTCCCTCTTCCCATCCATCATCCCTGCCTGTCGCTCCAGGCTAGTTTCTCTTTCATCCCTCTATCTGACCCCTCCTCCACTATTTGTCTGGAAGAAAGGGTGAGGAGATGAGAGGAGCGGTCCACGGGGCCCATATTAAATTAGGCGAGCAGTAATGAGATTAAAAATCATCCACGTGGGCATGCATGCATGTGTTTGAAAGAGAAAGTATGAAGTGTGCATTTGTTTATTTGCACAGCCAAAAACAAGTCTGATATGAGTGTGGGGGCGTGTAGCGTTTTGGTTAGCAGCTAGATTCAGATGTTAATATATGAGCTGTATGTGGCCCACTGGTGTCTGTGAACTCAGGGAAACACACACATTGCCTTTAATTAGAACCGGATTGTCGCTGCATTTTCAGCAGCAGGATTTTTTGGGGCACAAACCAACTTGTTCTGATTGTCTTTACAGACAGACTGCGAGGGCAGCGGCCGTCGCTCCCTCTCCTGCCGCCAACATGAATAGTGCAATTATGAAGATTGGCAGTAGGACAAGACGAAAGCGCTAACACCCCACCACCATATTTGCATATCCAAGGATAGGTTTACAATGGCTTTTTCCTCGACGTCTGCTTAGTGCTGCGAGCTATTACCTGCAGGAAGAAACAAAGGAAAAATCCAACTCTTAAGATCGAATTGTTAAAGTCACAGCTTTTCAACTTGAGAGTGAACCTGTGTCCCAGTATCCTACACCAGTACTGTCCAATCAAGCCAGGTTCAGATTTTATCTGGTGAAATAAAGCTTTAATAAAAAAAGTGAGTCAAAGTGTTTTTACAATTTTAAAGGCCCTGCACGTCCCCATAGGTGTTTTCTGTTTTTCTGTTATTTCTTGCTGCTTTCCACCGTTGTTGTTTTTATAATGAAATGTTAATTGTTGCTTTACATTTCATTTTGTTGCCACTGTCTTGCGTAAACATTGATTGCAAGGTCATTTTACTCACTGAAAAGTCTAACATATCTGTCCTTTTTCCTTTGATAAACTCAGCACTACAGGCTCAAAGTCAGAGTCACCTAAGCATTCCCTGGTAAATCAAATTACTGGACGAGATTTGCTCGTTCTGCTTTGAGTCAATTTTCAAGTGAATTTTATTTCTATACCTCAGTATTACAAATTTGCCTCAAGAGGCTTTACAATATGTCCTTAAATCATCGATTCATAGAAAAGAAACCCAGAATGAAATACATTGAAGTAAAAGAGCATTAGAAAAGGGATATCTCTTCCAGGAGGGACAAACAAGGAAATAGGAAATCTTGTGTGTACAGAATAGACCAACATCGTAAAATTACAGTATGAATGGTCATGATGACAAAAATTTAGATGTTGAGTCTGGACTTACCATATAAAATGATGGTGTATAATTTAATTTGTTCTCAGATCAGCACAATCAGACTAAAAGGACTGGCAAGTTATTGCCTCTCCAGTTAAAATCAATAATACACAAATTATACATACATGTCAAATCCAGGGTCTGAAATTTAGTTTTTTCACTGCCTGCCACTGTGACAGGCAAGTATTTTTTTTATCTGCCACTTTTGAAATGTATGTAACATTCAGCGCATTAAATGTTCAATATATTTACACAAAAACATTACATGCATGTTAGCGTGCACAAAGGACCCATGTCTTTCAGTACATGACCATCACTTGGGCCATGGGCCAATGATTTCATCCGGGTTAGCGGGTGCTGATTCTGTTCTGTTTGACCCTGTTCAAATCGTACTGTGGGCTAAGATATTGTTCCCAACTTCCTACAAATGTACGGATTTCTGGAAGTCCTTAAGTACTTGCCAGCCATTAATGACTCTTTTATTGTGTGTTTGTGGCAGGTAAACCAGGAGAATGTGGTGAAGGTGGGCCACAGACAGGTGGTTAACATGATCCGCCAGGGAGGCAACCGGCTCCTGATCAAGGTGGTGACAGTGAGCCGGAATCTGGACCCCGACGACACAGCACGCAAAAAAGGTAAAATGACATTCAGATTCTACTTTTCAGTGTGCAACACTCAAGGAAAGCTATAAACAGAGGAAGATATCTTGTCCACAAGTGGGCTAAAAATGAAAGGCGGCTGATGTTTGGTATTCAGCATTTTCCCCCAACACAAAATCATACATGGATTAGGAAATAGAATAATAATAAGAATAATGAGAAGCTTCAGGTGTGGAGCAGTAGGACACAGCTGCACACCAGCTGTAAAATGGATCTGCTAACAGTTGTACCTCCTGTATTAAAATACTGCAGTAAAGCAGCATGCTGACTGATGATGTGTTATGTAATAATATCCCTCTGAGGCAGCAAGGAACCTGACTTACTGCATGTCCACAATGCAAACAACAAAAATAACACAGCACCAGAAGTTCATATGCTTCTTTTAAAGCTTCCAGCTGGCAAAAGTCAGCTGTGGCTAACAATTTAGGGGGGGATTAAGCAGCAGAATTATAACTTGTTAGATTATGGAATCAAACCATTTGGTAAATGCCATGAGTGGTAATAGTATTAGAATCATCGTTATACAGCCATTTCTACATAAGGTTTGCCATCATTAGTTGCGTAACATAGCCTACCTGAGGGCGTGTTTATGGCTTATGAATTTAGAATCAGAAACGCTTTTATTGCCAAGTAGTTTTTACACATACGAGGAATTTGTTTTGGAGATAAAGTGCTATAAACAAACATACAGTTGACATAAATAAATGCAGAAATATATAAATATGGGATAGATTGACAAAATATAAAATACAGAATAATAACGATTAACATTTAACAACAAATATGTGCAATATACCGGGTATTTACAATGTTGTGAAATTAAATAATATTTACATGTGCAAAGATCAACAGTATTTCAGAGGGAAGGCGGGAGTGTCAGTGGGGGACCCGGGTCTTGTTAATGAGGCTGCAGACGGGAAGAAACTGTTTTTGTGGCGACAGGTTTTGGTCCTGAAGGACCGCAGCCTCCTGCCAGAGGGGAGAGTCTGAAGCAGTTTGTGTCCGGGGTGGGAGGGGTCCAGATGGTGATGGAGGAGGTGAGGATGGACTCGATGATGGTGTAGAAGTGCACCATCATTGTCTTGGGCAGGCTGAACTTCTTCAGCTGCCGCAGGAAGTACATCCTCTGCTGGGCCTTCTCGGTGAGGGAGGTGATGGTGCCCAGGAAGCGGAAGGAGTCCACAGTGGTGACTGGGGAGTCACAGGATGATGGGGGAGGGTGGGGCTGGGCTCTTCCTGAAGTCCACGACCATCTCCACGGTCTTCAGAGCGTTGAGCTCCAGACTGTTCTGGCCGCACCAGGTCACCAGATGGTCGATCTCCCACCTGTAGACGGACTCGTCCCCACCTGAGATGAAAACAATGAGGGTGGTGTCATCTGCAAACTTCAGGAGCTTGACAGACTGGTGACTGGAGGTGCAGCTGTTGGTGTACAGGGAGAAGAGAAGGGGGGAAAGAACGCAGCCTTGAGCGGATCCGGTGCTGATGGTCCTGGAATCACAGACATGTTTTCCCAGCTTCTCGGCTGCTTCCTGTCCGTCAGGAAGTCTGTGATCCACCTGCAGGTGGAGTCAGGCACCCTCAGCTGGGAGAGCTTGTCCTGCAGCAGGTTTACAGAGTTTTAATTTCTGCTTGTATGCAGCAATCAGGTGGACCATGACGTGGTCAGAGTGTCCAAGAGGTGGGCGGAGGGCGGTGGGCGGTGTGATAGGCACTGCTTACTGTGGTGTAGCAGTGATCCAAAATGTTCCCTTCTCTGGTCGGACACTTTATAGACTGTCTGTCTGTATTTTGGGAGTTCATGGCTGAGGTTTCCTTTGTTTAAGTCAGCAAGAACAATAAATAAGGAGTCTGGGAATGTCCGCTCTACCCACAATGCCACGTCCTCTCTGAGTAATACAGAATAACATGTATGCATTTTGTCTGTCTCTCTGTCTCCCTCAGCTCCTCCACCACCAAAGAGAGCCCCCACCACAGCCCTATCTATGCGCTCCAAGTCGATGACCTCTGAACTGGAGGAACTTGGTAAGAACATACCGGTTTGGCTTTTACACAGTGGCATTAGGATGTCTGTGACTAACAGCACCTCTTTCTCTTTTTTGTTCTTTTTTTCTTATTGTCATTGATTGGTTAATCTCAATAGTGGATAAAGGTAAGCAGTTAAAGCTGCATAACCTTTTGCCATCCATTTCACCTAACAGCAGCATGCATCGCTGAATGAAGCTTTTGTTCAGGCTAATGCAAATTAAGTTTTGATCATTTTGCTTACATTTGACCCATAAAAATAAGAAAGCTGCTTTTCCTCCCTCCTCATCTCCTGTCCTCCTTTGCCATTATGCATGCAGAACTTGCTTCTAAAGACCCTGCACCCATGAGCTGTCGCTGTGGCTACAAGGAACAAATAAGTCTAAAATATAACATTAGTATAATCTCTGTTTGTTTGTTTTTTATATGTGTGTGTGTGAGTGCGTGTGTGTGACCTCCACTTCAGACGACCCTCTGTGCATAGCACTAAAAGTGCTGTGCTGTCCTAATACCTTCTGACAGACAGGGCAGTCAGCGTTTCTGAGACACATGACCACCCAGACCCTGAAACGACGTCTCATGATCAATTCAGCTAGTAGATGACAGAAAGTACTCATTACTCCATAAAATAAATAAATAAATCTACTTTTTCCCACTGAAGGTTCATATGTGTCTTAATGAGGCTTAATGAAAGTGTATTGATTTGAGATTTAAATCCTGGTTGATTTGGCGGCACTGTGGTTTAGAACAGACCAACACTTGAGCAGCTTTTTACTGATTATAAACCACTATGTGATCCCTTTAGTTTTGCATTGACTTGTTCTGTTTTCTAAAACCTTTGTTGCGCACCACTGTGTGTGATACTAATTTTTATTTGACATGTCTATGTTTTACATTGATTGCTGTAAAGCACTTTGTTACCTGGATTGAAAAGTATAGTTATAATTCCAGTAGGTAGGCAGTCCGAATGACTGTCACTACAATAACAAATGACTTTGTAAGATAATTGCTGAATGTATACTGTATATATTGAAAGGCTATTGTAGAAAAAAATGTTGACCATAAATAGTTTCAAAAATTTGGTTTGATTTCATAAATCTGAAGGATTATTACATTCAGAGAGGTGGTCTTCGTCACTTTTTACCTGAATTTCCCCTCAGAGGATCAGTAAAGGCGTATCTAATCTTATTTTAAAAACACAGCAACTCCCGATTAATGGTGCCCCTGATTAACTGATTTACCAACAGTCAAATAAGTGACAGCAATTTTGACAATGGATTACGTTCAAGTAATTTATTAAGACAAAATTCACTGGTTCTGACTTTGTTTCATTATAAATTGAGTTTTAGACTGCTGTTGGGACAACAAGCAATTTTACGACGTCACTTTGGCCTGTGGGAACTTATTGTGTAAATTTTTCTCCATATTTTGTCTTTGTACAATTAATCCAAAAATAAAATACAGCTTAATCAATCATGAAAACATCATTAGTTGCAGCTAGGGTGCATTGTTTTAATAGCAGTTTATGATTTACTGTTTACACTTAGCATTAGTAATTGCAGCTTTGTGCCCTGTGTCAAAGGTGTGGAAAGAGCAGGCAGAGAGATGAGAGGCTGGTGGATAAATAAATGACAGGAGAGGGAATCTTCATACATTGCAGAAAATTGCTGACAGAAAAATGCCTCTGGTCAGCATGTTTTTTTCAGAATGCTTATTTGACACATTTGCATTTAATTCTTTACTTTATATATTTATAGTAGTAATAGTATTGCTTGGTAGTGTTGCAAGTCCATTAGTGTTTTCAAATCTGAATGTAAAGTATGGGATTCTCACAACAAATGCATCTGCAGTAGGATACATTTAAATAGATGGAAGTACCCTCACTCAATACTATTATATTAAACAAAGCTACAATACAAGTACATTTTTCTTCATCTTGGGCAAATTATTGACTTTGTTTTGTGCTTTAAAGACTCAAATCTTTTTCTGTCACCCCTTTTAAGCCACTCTAAGGAAAAAGAAAGGTGGTAAGTTACTGTAGGCATGCTTAAGTCTGATCCAAAACTTCCAATGATTGATTAACCTTCCCCACTCCACCTCCCTGTGATTAACTACAACTGATGTATTTGTTGACAGTTTATTTTAATATTTATATAACAAAATGATTTGTCTGACATTTGACTTTCAGTGTTTCACCTGTAGTGTATTTGCATGATTTACAATGTGTTTTTGACTACAACTTTATTGGGTTGTAAATGTTGTTGGTGCATGATTTAATGTTGTGAATAGAAAGCTCCTCCGTCCCTTGTTCACAATCACAGATTATTGTTTCTTCTTCTTTTGAGCAGTCCTATTATTCACGTTTGATTAAAAGCAGTGGTTCACCTCAGAGTGCTTCCTAAACCTTTCATACAGACGGACCCAGAATCTTCATTTGCAACGCAGCAGCAAGCCCAGATCATTTACTTTCTGCGAGAATTTCAAGCTTCAAATGCAGTGGAACATAGCAACAGACCCTTAATGAGGAATTACAGAACATATTACTTGAGTGTGTGTGTGTGAGTGTGTGAGTGTAAACAAAACGCTGCCGCTGTTAGTCAATGTTTCTTCATTTTACCTGACCTGAAAAGGTTTGCTGTCATGTTTCTGTTCTTCATGTGTGCCTTCTTCTTTTTCCTCCTATGTTGCAGGCTTGTGAGTGTGAGTGTGAGTGTGCGGAGGGGGAGGTTTATTCCAGGAAATGTTTCACTCACAGATAGGTTTCCAGGGCAACCGTGATGCATGTTGTCTGATATGCTGTAGCTGAAATCCAAATTAAGAGAGAGATCGGAGAGAGAGGAAATGTGCATTTCTTTCTGGTTTTGTGTGTTTGTGTTTTAGCTCTAACCGTAGTTAAGGTCATTGACACTCCTTTCCTCCCCTTTCCTCCCCTCCCCACCTCTACCTCTTTTCCACTCCTCTCCTCTGTGTGTAGATGCGCAGAAGAAGAGGATTGTTTTCCAAGTCACTCTAAGTAATCACGCCCCCTAATGCATGGAAGCTTTCCACATCCTAGACAGAGCTAGCCAGGGAGGTGAAACAGTAAGAGGCTATATCAGGGCTAGCATGTAGCTTCTCTGAGCAAAACCCTTGAGGTGGACTTTATCTGATGGCATCATCACACACCAGAGGGAAGTTCAGTTCTGCCAAATTTGCCGTTGACACCTTTCCCATGCTGCAGGCCTTAAAAAAAGAAGACTAAGAAAGATAACGGCAAACTTGACAGACATCACATTCATTGCTCATTTTACATTTAATGAGGGGACGACCCTGAGAGTTGGATGATGCTGCTGAGTCGGCTGTTTGGAAAGAGCTTGCACGGCTTGCAAGGCTGGACACACCTGAAACATTTCATAAAAGTCCTCCTGTCTGCCCCCCCCCCCCCCCTCCCAAAATTTGTTTAAATGTTTTTCGTTTCAGTTTCATTTGCAATTCAGTGTGGAAACACAGGAACGGGTCACTGTGAATGATTAGCTTGCGTTTGGCCTATGACAACCTTACGGTGGCTTTGCAAGTTAAGTCCTGCACAGGTCGTGTTTTTCTTACTTTTGATTTACGGCTCGCTTTATCTTGCAGACAAAGTCGAAGAAATGTCACATGCCCAGAAGACCTCGCCTGTTGATATGAAGATTGCCACAATCAAACCACGCCCATCCAGTCGCTGTTTGGTTACGGCAGCTGATATGAATGTAAGTGAACAAAACTCGCTTGACGCTAATACAGTTATTGTAAAAATTAGATATTCATTACACAGATCATACCGTGTACAATGGTGTTACTTTAAGGATGTTTTGGTTTGGTTTTGCTCCTTGAGTGTATAATAATAATTTTGAAAGTGTTTTGATTAGTGTGTTTGGCTGTATTCTGTGCCATAATCCCCTAATGGAAAAATACAAATCTGTGAATGTTAATCTATTTTACAGCAGTTTGTTTTACAGCTTGTTTTAATGATAGATATCTGAAACTAAACGATGTTAGTGTTGGTCTCCAGGCAGCAGAGAGCTAATGGGAAAGTGTGTATTTCTGAATATATCATTAACAACATTCTGGTTTGCAGTCTATGTATCATGACCGCCAGGGAGTAGCAGTGGTGCCACCCACTGTGCCAGGGGCCTTCCTGGGGATACCTGAGAAGGGCACTATGAAAAAGCAAAAGTCCATAGGTATGATGTATATACAGTAAGTGTGAGTGTGGGAGGGCATGTGAGTGTCAGCTTGAGTTGTGAACTGCATGTCCAGAACCTTGTGCTTTCAGCTTGTCGTAATATTCTATTAATGCTCAGAGGACTTGCTCTGTGTGCTCAAGCAATATTAAAGCTAATTATAGATAGATTAGAATGATCCAGTCAGCAAAGTGTGCTTTCAGGCGATAATATTGGAGGTCATTAAACATATGCTGAAACCTCATTCTTACTGCCGAACTGGAGGGACGTCATGCAGGCTAATGTTACTCAGAGTTCTTTTGATTTGCAATACCATCATTATTGTAACAAAAAATTAATTCCTTTTTTTGCAATAATTTCAGTAATAGACCTTTTAGTATGTTCTGGTTTGATGACGCATGGGAAATGCTCTCTTCTGAGAGCAAAAAAGTGTCACTCATTGACCAAGTTCCCCTGAGCAAGGCACTTGCTTCCATAATAATAACTTTTCACAGTTAAACAACTGTGTAACTGTGCAAATGACAGAAAGAATGGAACTCAATAAGCATCTTCTGCAAACTTTCCCCAAATGCCAGCTACTAGCTGAATAGGCATCCACTCATCTGTAGATCCCCAGAACACTGCTTGTCATACATTTTAACAAACATGGCAAAATAAGATTGATGTACATATGCACAAGTCATTTTGGTCTTTTATTTGAGATACGTTTCCATGACCCCTTTTTAACACACATAGCTCGCATATCTGCTCTATAGATAATAGATTTTATTTCAGCAATCAAACTTTAATACAAATGTTTATTCTTGTCGTTATTTCCGCATTCAAGATTTCAATTGGTGGTGTTGGGTAATTGGTCATATTAACTCACCAGGAAATAAGTTAACATCTTATAGTTGGCTACTTTTGTTATCTATCGGACCCTTCACAAATTTCAGGAACCCCTGCTTGGATAAATAAAGGTTAAGAAAGAGCTCACAACAAATAAATTAGATATTTCCTGTGGAAAGAGCAGGTTGTCCTGGAAATAAAAAATAGGGTTGCCTACCCCACGTCCTCACATAATTTTTCTCTCTGCCCAATCTCTCCAAGGTACAACGGAGGATGAGAAACAGGGATTCCTCACACCTCCCCTACTCAAGTTCTCTCGCAGCCTCTCTATGCCTGACACCTCAGAGGACATCCCTCCTCCCCCAGCCATTTCACCCCCTTCGCCACCTGCCTACAACTCAGCTGCTGGCCCTATACCCAAGAGTTACGGCACCACACGGCCCAGCTTCACCCAGAACTCACCTAATGCAGTAACGACCATTAGCCGAACCACTGATGTTGGCACGTTAAGGCGTGGGTATTTCCGCCAGAGCTCGGAGCATTTTGAGAGCACACGCACCCGAGGGCGCACGCCAGTGCCGGAGAATCCATACTCTGAGGTGGGCAATAAGACACTGTATGTGCCAGCAAAACCAGCTCGAAGGAAGGGCATGCTTGTAAAGCAGCCCAATGTTGAGGACAGCCCAGAGAAAACATGTCACATGCCAGCAAGCCCCTCTGGCCCAGTTTCCATGCCCACCACGCCTGTAGAACGAACGTGCTCCTCCATCCCCATCCCCACCATCATCGTTAAGGAGCCCTCCACCAGCAGCAGTGGCAAGAGCAGCCAGGGTAGCAGTATGGAGATTGAGCCCACCACTCCTGAACACCCACCCCTCACGCCCACTGTTGGTGGAAGTGGAGGTTTGCGTCCTGATGACCTGTCTCTAAGCAACCCCTTTGCAGCAGCAATTGCCGGGGCGGTACGGGACCGGGAGAAGAGGCTAGAGGCAAAAAAGCACTCAATTGCCTTCCAGTCAATAGACATAGGGGATGATGAGTTCAGTAGTCCCACACCAACCCCTCGCCTTCGCCAGTCAAAGTCCATTGATGAAGGCATGTTCAGTAGCGACGAGCGGCTTCGAAGGATATTGGCTCCCCCTCCTGCAGCACAGCTCGGGCCTCCTGTTGGGGGTGGTAGTGGCAACATGACAGATTTTAACACTCCTGAGCCTACAGTGGTGCGGGAGCCTCTAAACACCAGAACGGGCCAGTGTCCCAACCTGGATAGTCCTGTTAGTCTCCCAGCAACTCCTCCTAAGAGCCACTACAGGGCCAATGGGACCTACCTCCATCCTGTCACCGGCAAGCCCTTGGACCCTAACTCTCCACTAGCTCTGGCCCTGGCAGCTCGTGACCGGGCCATGAAGGAGCAACAAAACCATCCTCAGAATCAGCCACAAAATCCTCCTCAGGTTCAGCAAACCCCAAAGCATGAAGGCCAGTCCCTCCCAGTTCAGCCAAGCCACAAACCAGACCTCAACCAACCTCTGTTTATTGACACCAAACTACGCTCCGGGATCGAGACCAGTTTTGCTGCAATCTCTACCGCAACTATGGGGCGACCTGGCCGAGGCGGCCTGCGGAGGCAGATGACGGAGCAGAAGTATGAGTCTGACGGGGCACGGGAAGAACGGCAGCATCTCGCAGTTGAGGAGAGGAAAAGTGCGCCAGGGGATGTGGGAGACACATCACAGCCTAAGTCAACCGGGCTGCTGATGGTCCACACCAGCACAGAAGCATGCAACAAGGTGAACAACCAAGAGTCAGAGGGGCAGGACAGCAACAGGCCATCTGAGCTAAAAGACCCCAACCAACCCGATCCTCTCAAAGCTCCAACACTATCTACCAATCCCCAGCCACCATCATCACGGAGGAGGAGCATTCCTTTAGGCGAGTCCATGGATGAACCAGTAAAGCTGCCCTTCCGCATCCCCCCTCCCCCACTGGCCTCTGTTGACATTGATGAGGATTTTGACTTCACAGAGCCCCTCCCCCCACCGCTGGAGTTTGCCAACAGTATTGACATTCCTGATGACCAGGCTAGTGCCATTGCCGAGATGCTTCAGCAACAGAGACGGAATGGTGGACCTCATCTACCCCCATACCATGCTCACGCCCCACCTCCTGTCACTGATCAACACAAACGGGTGGTGAACAGTATGCCCCCCTCATATCCTCCTCCTCCGCCTGACCCAGAGTCAGGGGTGGGTGACTCGGGCATTGAAGAGGTAGACAGCCGCAGTAGCGGGGATCCTCTGCACATGGAGACCACCAGCACCGTTTCCAGCATCTCTACCCTGTCATCAGAGGGAGGCTTCTGCGACAACACTCTGGAGAGCCTCTATGCCACTGCAGATGGGCATGCCTTCCTCGTGGATCGGCCCCCTGTGCCACCCAAACCCAAGGGCAAGTCTGTCATTAACAGAACATCGCTTTATCATGACGCGCTCATTGAAGAGGCCCCAGAGTCCTATGGGTCACCCCCTCAGGCTCCTCCCCCTCCCCCTTCATCCTCTGAACCTCCTAGGACTCCTACTCAAAGGACATCCAAGCTGTGGGGCGATCAGCCCCCTGAGCTGCGCAGCCCCCCATCCACACCAGACTCCAAGAACACTGTTATCACCGAGCTGAGCTCCATTCTGCAGCAAATGAATCGCGATAGACCAACCAAGCCAGGAGAAAGCCTGGACTCCCCCACAGGCACCAGGGGGGCCTTCGGAACAAGGTACGTGATAAGTCAGTATTTAATGCGTCAGGGATTTTTTTTCCTCAATTTATCTTTTTGTTCCTTAATTTTCTTGTTTGGGTTTTATTTCCCCGGACATTTATCTACCACAACGGAAGCTGTCAACAGTTTTCATAGCAACTATGAGCTGATCCTCTGCTTCCCCTTCGGTGATAATACTTTCAGTTTATAAATGTGCTTTGTTGTATCTTTTTTTGTTTTATTCTCTGATAGTCAATTGTGTCTAGTTGTTTATAGCATCTGTACAATGAGCCGGCAACCAAAGGTTAGAAGGTCTAGAGCATTACAACTTAGATGGTTGTTTTGAATTGTATGTGAAGAATGGATGAGGCTGCAGGGGTGTGCTTGGATGTCATCTGAAGGGTTTATAGAAGAATAGTCAACCCAAGGTTCTTCACAGGCTTCATTCATATTCAATGTCTTCATATTGTTGAGGCTCGCACTCTATGTGTATATGAGATATACACAATATATTAACAATATAATATTGTTGGAACGGGCTTTAACGTTATTGTGGCAGCAAGTTTGTGCGGTCATGATCTGTGGATATCCTACTGTGTTAGTTCTTAACATGAAGAACTGATAAAAGAGTTAACTCTGGGGAGTCCTCTGTTTATAATGTAGTACATGTCTAGACATCATTTGACATTCAGCTCATCCTCTTGCTCTTTATCAGTTTGACATTTATTTGCATTTATTTAGTTTATAATCACATTTGTCAACTGAATGTTGCGTAAATAGTCACTATAGGCAAATAATAAGAAAATGAATGTTGTTCACTTGTTGACAAGTAGGATTATGGGATGGAACATTTGTTATGTACCAAGATTGATTTCCTGCAGTGCCACGTTTTAGATTGTTGAGGTTTTGCAGGAGTCATATTTGCAGTAACTGGGACAACGTTTTAATGGACCCTGCACCTGAACCAGCTCAGCTCATGGTTTTTTAAACTCACATCTCCCCTGTATGAGAGGGAAATAAAAAGCACGATAAATAATTCACTGCTCACATGCATTTTGTATGAATGGTCCCATCGCTCAGCAGAGAGGTGTAGAGAGCAGAGGGAAAGAGTTGATTCCTCTGGGAGTTTGTGCCTTCTGATCTAATAAACACTGTTAGATCAACACAGTGACGTCCATTTGTGGTAATTACAGTGAGATGCCCACCAGCTGCTTAGGTGCAGCCTTGTGTACCCTCCTTCACGCCACATACTATCATGTTATCCTCATTTTCATCCTCTGCAGTTCAAAGTCATGTCTGTTGACCTTTACACCTTGTACACATTTCATTTTCAGCTCACGCCTCTCCATCTTCATCTCCATTTTCTCCAGTCTCCTGTAGTTCCTTCACTTTCTTCATGCCCTCTGTGTCTCCCATCTTCACAGGTAGGTTCTATCGGCTGCTATCAAGTCACAACGAAGCCCGGTTTTCACTTTTATGTGTTCACCAGGCTACATGGTTTTTAGGAAATGAAGTTGTCATGTTGGTGCCTGCCTGCCTGCCTGTGTGTTGACACATTCTTGTGAACATGGAACTTTTCATACTAGGGAGGGAAAATGGAAACTACTTTATCTCTTTTCAGCATTTAAGATAATACTGGATGCCGCCATTTGTTCAGATATGAGTTTTGGCAAAGAACTAAATGCAGAATAAATGATACACAATGCATAAAGCATTAGCTTCGTTAATGACTTTTAACACGTCATTATGTTTAATCTGTGACCATAGGCATCTTAAGTGTCTCTTGTTCTGCCATTTTGCTGAAAAAGTTGCTTTCCCCATAAAGTAAAGAGTTATCTGGTTGTCTCTTTGTGCTGTTAGTAGCTTTATGATGCTAAGGTATCGGGTGCAGGAAGCTGGCAGCAGCTCAAAGTAAACGGTTTATTCCCCCCAAGCCATGCATTTGCAATGATTTCCTGTACTGAGATAATTGTTTTGCACAGCGGGGCTTCTTATGACTTCTAGAAAGCACACATTTATGCACTTTTTGTTGCTATTTTAAGGTCATGTGACTTATGTCAGATTTATTGCAATTATGAGATGCAAATTAGGAAAAATCTTTTACGTCAGCTTCTTAGTGACAATTACAAGAGGGGTGTGTTGGATTAGTTTTAGGTCCCAGTTTTTCCCACTTGGCCTCTTGAATTGTGTAAGAATGTGCCGACACATAAAAAAACTAAGTCAGTGCTCTATATATACACATAACACACACAACAAAAGAAGAAGTAATAATGAGGGAGAAAGATGGCTAATTTCAGTTTAACGTCACTTAAGCAGCCATTATCATACCACTAAAGACCCTGTGGAGGTTAATTCCACAGACAGCTTACTGACATAGTTACACTTGGGAAGAGTAAAATGCACATCTACATCTTGGGAGAGATGCAGCACACCTTTCAACATCTGGCTAGAAAGCGTCTCTAACACTTTATGGATGAGTTTACTTGGCTTATGTTGATATCAGAAAGTCGTTCGATCTGCCCAAGACACATGAATTGAGTGTAAATGGGGTATATTATCAATCCATAACATTTTAATTGATGCTTCTGTGATCAGATGTCTCCTGACGAATATACCTGAAATTGCTGTAGTGGATGGTGGTTTCATTTCCCAATGACAAATTTCAATTTGTGGTTTGAGTTTGGACAATAAAACAATAACAATCCATCCATCCATCGTCAACCGCTTATCCTGCATACAGGGTTGCGGGGGGGGGCTGGAGCCAATCCCAGCTGACATTGGGCGAAAGGCAGAGTACACCCTGAACAGGTCGCCAGTCCATCGCAGGGCCACACATAGACAGAAAACCACTCACACCTCACATTCACACCTAAGGACAATTTAGAGCCACCAATCAACCTAGTCCACATGTCTTTGGATGATGGGAGGAAGCCGGAGCACCTGGAGAGAACCCACGCAGACACGGGGAGAACATGCAAACCCACGACCTTCTTGCTGTGAGCCGACAATATTATCACAATATTTTTTTCAGTAACAATATAACAAATGTTCTACATCAGATTTGTTAAGTAATCCACTGTTTGGCTTCAAGTGTTGACCTTAAGAGTTATTAACAGGTATCAGGTTTCTTCAGCTTTCACTCAGAGGGCAAAAATCAGCCTTTAAACTCGAAAGAAAAAACGATTTGATCCTTATCGTGATAACTTTTTATCGTGAAAACATTTTTGGCCATATTGTCCAGCCCCACTCCCTGCATAAGGTTGGTGTAGAAATCTCCAACTTGGTTTACTATTTTAATATTCCCAAGTAACCTAACCCACATTAAAGGTGAAACCCATCATAGTTGTCCTCAGATTGAGACTCTAAAGTGAATGTAAATTACAGGTCTGTAGTTGCTGTATTTTGTATTATTGGCTGTTTTGGGAACTTTTTCATACTTTCCCAGACTGACAAAATCTCATGTATCCTTTTTATAACTGTGTGTAGTTTGGTCTGATTAGCGTGATTCAGTTCAGTAACTGCTTCACTATGGGATCAAACTACCAGATGTGTGAGTGCAGCATTCAACCCTCATTCCTAAAGCGGCGCTTCTCATCCTGCTTAAATCAGTCAATTACTTGTAATCTGGTCTTTCTGATTGTTGCCCTGAGGGGTTTGTGTGTGTTTGTCATGTCAGATGGAGTTTAAACCCCACTCACTTGTTTGCCACCAGGGTGTCCGATTATCTGCCTCGGCGCTCAGAGGGGGTTTTCGTGTCGCACTACTTAGTCTTGCGGGGAGGGTCGCCGGGCGCAGCGGCAGAAGATAAGGTTGTAGGCAGCTAGAGATGTGAAGATAGGGAACACCTGGACATATGAAGAGGCCTGCGAAAAAGGGTAAAGGTGGTCCTGCTCCTGAAACCATCAAACAGATGGCAACAGAGATGCACAGAAGATGGCCTAGATTCACACATGCTCTCCCTCTCGTTCTCTCTCTCCCTCCATCCTTTGCTCTCCTGCTCCTGCGCACAGTCTCCTGCATAGTCTTCCTCAGTATGTCAGGATCGGACCCAGCACCAATAGGAATATTTTAGATTTTCTTTGGACATTTGTGGACTCGCTTCTTTCTTTTTTCTTTTTTCTTCCTGTCTCTTAGGCGCCCAGATTAAATGTGCGTTGGTTGTGCCTGTGGACGAAAGGGTTGCCTAGCAACCGGCTGATGAGAGCAGCCCCGAGGCCCGCAGTGATGTCAGTCTGAGTCGGGGGGAGGGGTGTGCGTTTGTACTTGTGTGCGTGTGAGAGAGATGGAGCAAGAGGATGGCAGGCCTAACCCTCAGTAGAGTTCAACATCATCTCGCAGGTCACGTGCCGCGCTGCTTTAGTAGGCCACCGTTATGTAACCAGCACAGCCGAGTCAATCTCAAGCTTTCTATAAATAAAGGCAGCGTGTGCATGCATGCCAAAGAGTGTGACCCTGTATGCGTGAGCTGGTGTGTGCTAGAAAGAAGCAGGGAGTCATGGGATGTGTGGGCGTGTTGAAGGTGAGGTCTCCCACCACAGATATCAATAGCACTGCATCACTTTCCTCTCATCCTGCTCAGCTGACAGAGAGCGAGTGTTGTTCCTGCGCTGAAATGAAGCCCAGTGAGGGCCACGTGTTGATATTACTTATGTTTATTTGGGGGGGGGGGGGTAACTTCCACAGTACACAACTCAGATCTATGTGAGGACTTTATGCTAAATTAACGCTGCAAGGAACAATTTTTTTCATTAATGAGTTGGTTATATCTTTGATAGATCATTTAGTCTTTAAAACGACTGAAAATAGTGAAAAAAATCTCAGGTTTCCCAGAACTCAAGGTGTGTGTCCGACAAACAGTCCAGATCCTTAAGAGATATTCAGATATGTAAAACAGACAAAAGCAGTAAAGTTAACACACAACACGAACAAGAGGACTGTGGAATGAGCCTTTTAATGTACATCTTTCTACAAAATCCAGATTTAAAAGTGAAACATGAGTTTTTCATTTTGTCCTGTTC